CAAACACTTCATGATTCAACACAATGTACAGACAACTGTAATTTTATTTATATACATAGATAAAAAGTAAATTGATGCCGTCTACTGCAACGCACTCGGTCACCAAACCTGAGCTAGCGGTTCGACTTGGAGCACAATTGAATGTATATTCGTGGGTATTTTAAAGCTCGGTTTACAGGTAATTTAACGCTTATCTGATGGCGGAAGTGTCTGTTGATGGCCGTTTGATAGCACAAGCGTCTGAGAGCCATGTTATTGTCAGCTTTGTGCGTAGCGGCGCCGCGTAACGGAGCGCATTGCTACGTATTTGCACATTAATGTTTGCGCTTGTATTACTCTTCAACGTTTCAATATGATGGCCAACTATAAGCTACTGCAACTAATTTGGATTTTTACTAATTTCAATCCTTTACTTATGTAAAAAACAAACTAATGGAACACATAACACTAACAGTGCGATGAATACTTCTATCAACTTTGTCATTTAATTCCACATATTTAAACAAGTAAGACATAACTACTGAAGATCCCAGATGAAGAAGAAGCCGTTGGGCCATGTATGCTCGATTGTCAATCAGTTGGGTTATTCTTCTTCCTCTCACTGGAAGCGCTTCCGGTTTTGCGGACAGAATACAGACAGCTAATCAACATTAGTAATGAAAGTGATGGTCGCTCTTACTGCTACGACTCTCATCACTAGTTTCAACTTCTAGTTTTTTTTGTTTTTTTTGCACATTACTTCAGGCTAGACCTAGGCGTTGCGGCATTATCACTTAGATAAAATCCATTGGTGATTGGTGGGATATGAACCCGGGACCTCTTAGACCGAAGTCCCACGCTCTAACTACTGGACCAGCTCGCTCCCCAAGGTTTCAACTTCTAGTAATACGTTTCTATTTAACGGTGAAAATTTAGTAATCGCTGTTAAAGACAGCAGCACCGTGTCAGATCACCACTAAAAGACGCGTGGCTCCCTCAATCCTATGTATAAACCTGTTAACAATGTGGCAAGGTTAGTGTTTCTTAAAGCTCTGCGCAATGGTTGTAATGAAAATCTGGCATTTATATGTGTTAAGGATAAATATTTGGGAAAAAACTATTTGTAAAAAAATCAAAACACCATTACACCCCGCTCCCATGACCCATGTCTAGCTGGTCACAAACTTATTCAAGTTTATCCCACCAGACACGTTCAAGCATTTTTTTCTATATCAGACAAAAATTACTCTAGAACATACAGTACTTCAACCCAGCATTGCTCGGTGGTATGGTATGGTATTCCTTTTCTTCCCTTCTTCGCTTCCCTTCTGCAGATGAAAAGGACCCCACTTATACAGTAAAATATGTATAGTAATGTCTGATGAATTAATAAAAATATTTAATTTAATAATACGAGTAAACACAGGATGTAGTATGACACATTTCCGTATAAACATTGTGATACTATCTATGTTTGTTTGCCCCTAAATAAACAGGCATTCATTAATCAAAACACCTTATCGATGTTGTCGTGTAACAAGTAATGAATGACGAACACTCTACATCAATCAACACCACCAGTGTTAACCACATTGTTAACCCTTCAACTCGTAGTATACTCACACACGCACACACACAAAACCGTTGACAGCAGCTAAACATCGTTTATAAGCGCTCCCCTCGCTACAATCGCTGATAAATTATATCCAACCCTTACAGCCGAATTCCATTAAAACAACACGCGGCGCTGCGAACGAATAAAGGGGTGGCAAACCCGAAAACAGGTGCATAAACATTTAAAACACACTCTCGCGCAAATGTTTCAAGTGGTTTGTTTGCAGCCCGTTTCGTTCGTTGTTTTTGTTTATTTATGATCGGGAATTTAATTCTGTTATGTGGAACTGTAACCTTATCACTGTTAAATTTTAATATACAGAAGTATGTATTGAAAAATTCGGGCAGTGAGAATAATTTAGTTATGAGGTCATTATCACTATAGTCGTGTTGCTAATACTAAGGTTCGGGAACGCTCTGCACTATTATGTGAAGTCTCAGAAACAGGCCTTTTGTACAAAAACATAAGAATTCTCCAACTTCAATTAAATTTGCATAAATATTGTAAGCCAACCATTTGTATGAGTTCGCGAACCATGATAAAATTATGACAATGATCTTGGGGGCGGTTTTCGACCCAATAATATTTTGTTCACTTTTTACCGAAATTTTAAATACATTATAAAAGCGTTTTTTCGTAATTCAACTATGTTTTATAAGACAAGGCAATTAAGTAAATTAGTTACATTTGTAATCTGCATCCTCTAAAGTTCCCAATGAACCATTGAACCTTAATAAACTACCAACAAATACTACTGTACCAACAAAAAACAGGTACCTTAAAATAAAAAAAGTGTGAAATATAATGTTTGCCATGTCTATTGTCTACTTTGAAGTCGGGGATTTTCATTTTTTTTTCATTTTGAGGCAATTTATGGTACCTTTCTAGAGTATTTTCAAGAAATGCATAATAGTAGATTGTAGGAAATTTTATTCTCTTTCGGAATATTACCTTCTACTTTGGTCGATTTCCTCACCATTTAAAAGTTATTTGCAAAAACGTCAAGCGACCTCCAAATTTCTAGTGGCAAAAAAATTTGGAGATTACTTTTTAACTTTGTAAAATTAAATTTACAGTTCTGCTGGATCGATTTTGTTAAATAATGTATCTTTGAAAGGCATAAACTCTTTGACTTGCTTTTTCGTTTGATGTGTATTTTATAGCGGTAAGATTAATAGTATAAAAGTTATAAAGCGTTAAAACCGGGTCATTCATTTTGAAACACCCGGTATTTTTTGTTGTGAACTTATTTGGATTGACAGTCAGGAAAGTAGACAACTAGACAGCCAAAAGTCTGCTGGTTTGTTGCAAGAGGGGTATTGTATTATTACGGTTGTTTTATTTTTAAGTTCATCGTTTAAATCATTTAAGATATGTTACTATAACACCGCTTATTTATTTCTATACCTCTCTCTCTCTCTCTGATACAAATTAAAGCAAATAAACAAATTTTCACAAGATCATGAATTGAGCGGGTTGAATAAAATGCTGTATCAGAAATTATAGCATTACAGATTATAAAAATTAAATCTTTTAATATTATCAAAGACGAAGAATTAAAGACGCAATTATTACGCATTTTTATTAAAATTGAAAACATTGTTTCCACGTATTGCGATGAATTGATTATTTATTAAAACGAAGGTTTACGCAGGACCAAGTAACCATTTTTTTTACCAGTTAACATGACAAATATGTTTACCTTATTTTTAAAATACCAAAAACAGAAACGCGCATGGGCCTACAGCATTATGTTAATATTAGATTGTGTGTGTGTTTGTTTTTGGGACTCAATCACGCATTTACACTGGTCAGATTAGAATTAGACTGAAATTTTGTATGAAGAATCTCATATTCCCAATTAGCATAAGCCATTTCAAACAGTATCATTTCAAAAATCCCTTTGGGTCCCAGTGGCTCTCAAGTTTTTTTTTTCACGGACTGTTTACGGGTATCTATTATATTATTAAAGTGATACAGTCAAATTTGTGAAAATCGTTTAAGGACACAAGCCAAGTAAAATATAGGCATATGACACATCAAAATGGAGCTTGGAGTGTGCAGAGTTGCCAATTATTTGTATGAACGAGTTTCCGAAGGGCTCTGCCCAAAGGCCGTTATCCAAAGGGCTACTTACATGCTTTCGAAGTGTACTTTGTTTAATTAATTAAATTATAACCGTTGTTAGATATATTAGTATATGAACCAGAGTGGTAGAAAGATGATTTTTTTGCCGTTTATTTACATGGTGGAAATTTGTGAGATACATATTAAATAATAGGTTATGTTTGACTACAGAAAGGTAGTAAAAGTTCTGTAGAATTTTGCTTATTGTTTTATTTGAAATTTATATAGGTAAGCTAGAGGTAAATAGGCTAGACTAAAATTGAAAAAAAAAAAATAAAGTAAAATATCCTATGAAACATTTTTAGTACAATAAGGTATGCTGTTCGATTCTTTTTGGAATATAACTTAGGCTATATTTAATTTGAAATATAAGTTTGATTATTAAAATAAATAGGTCTACACTTTTAAACAAGTTTATATTTTCAAATTAAATCATACCTAAGCGGTTTTAGGCGTTTTATAGTTATTTTCCAAATGAATACTAAGATGCCTTAAAAGTCAGTAATAACTAATAAATCCTAAAGCATGGAGTACTACAAGCTACCCAGTGGGAAGGAGCTTACAAGAGAACGAAGTACAACAGTATTGTTGTGAACAGGCTTCCTCAAGTAGGTAGTAAGTACTTAAGTGGCTTCCTCTATGACAAATCTAATTATAGTTTTGGTACTAACACATATGATTCTTTCCTTTGAACACTTTGATCATACTAAATATTCAGACTACTGTATAAGAATAAGCTATTTGTATTTTAAAGTTATAAAAAAATAAAACATCGCTTTTAAGGTCCGTGAAGTTGGCGTACCCATATTAGCGTATCCACTTTTGATCATACCAATCGTTAGTTCATCGTTAGTTCTCGATAGTTCTCCAATATTTACGTTAGTTCTCAAAAAATAAAAAAGTTACGAGGCATACAAAGTGGGTACGCTAACTTCACAACTATACAATTTCCAGCGGGCACCGTTTTCTGACTATAAATGCCTATATCTATATACCAATCGTTAGTTCTTCGTTAGTTCTCGATAGTTCTCCAATATTTACGTTAGTTCTCAAAAAATAAAAAAGCTACGAGGCATACAAAGTGGGTACGCTAACTTCACAACTATACAATTTCCAGCGGGCACTGTTTTATGACTATAAATGCTTATATCTTTAAACCAATCGTTAGTTCTCGATAGTTCTCCAATATTTGCGTTAGTTCTCAAAAAATGAAAAAGTTACGAAAGCTGTGTAACACAAACATGACATGACTGGTAGTGTTGTAGTGGCTAAGGCCTACCTGATAAAGGAGCAAGGTGAGGAGGAGGGTCCTCGCGATCATGATAGCACAAACTGTCCTTGTCATCTTCGCGGCAGCGCGCGGCGCGGAGTCTCATTGTTGCCGACCACATACGGGAATGGCCGAGGGGCTCCGAACATGTCCGACAATCCACGACCATAGCCATTAGTGTTAAATCATAACTTTTATGTTTACACAGTTTCTTCGTGGACATCACACGAGCCTTTGAAATCCCCACATTTCAGGTAATTACTGAGCATTACCGGTACCGGTACTAACTAATAAAAACTATTTAAGTGGTTTCAGAAAAATGTTTGAAACTATTTTTAATGTTCAGTTTTTATTTATATTTTTAAAAAGTTGAAATTCTGTATACTTATATATAATTGGTTATAGTGGTGTCTAATCACGATTAGAGTATTACTGATTTACTAAGGAGAAAGTCCTTGGTTCGTTACAACAGACAGCAAGTCATTAAAAAACTTATACTTGACACAGTGAATTTTGGTATGTATTATGATAGGAAAAGGTAGAAGCTTAACTTTAACTTTAAATAAAACACTATAATTGAAAAAAGTCATAATAAACTCGTACACCAAAGCATCATTATAACTTTATCTACGAAGTGGTACATAGTCGAAGAGAGCGGATCAAAAGCAAATGAACGTAGTCAGTTGACACCGTCAAAGGGGTGTGTCAGGAAACAAGATAACAAGAAACATATTTCACTTCCCTCAAACAAACCAACATTGCACCCACTAAACAAAGCTCGGGGTTCATAATTGCGTTCAACTTCAAGTTGGCACTTTCATGAATGACAACGCTTCTGTTTTGGAGCAGTGATCCGGAAACTCCAGTCTAGGGGAGTTCAACCCCCGTCATAATTGAGATTTCACCCTCCATGACGTCACCGTGACAAGTTCTGTAATCAATACATCCCTCCCTCAAACATCACACGTGTCGTGCTATCAGCATCAGACGACCGATGCAGCGTGGTAGACTGTCATCTTGGACCGGCGCGGCGCGGCTCATGAATATGATTGCGAAGTATGATCAGATGTCGCACGTTTTCTTGATTTGCCGGTACTAATCCACCAGCAAGATATTAGGGAAACTGGTAAAATAAAGAGCGTATCGTCAATGATGTGTTTATAATTTGTAGGCTAAGTTAACAAGATCATGATAGTTTTTACGCCACACTACACTATTTTGACGAACTTCCCATGCAAGGATTTAGTCCAGAAAACAGCTGTTTGCCACCAGCTTAATCAAATGGGGTTTCATTGCGTAATACTGTTCTGCAATGAGTTTTGCCGGACACCAATCAGCTGATTATACTGTATTTGCGTGGCAATGATTTAGTTATAAACAAAAACATAACCTCTCTTAGAGGTTATGACTAGTGATGTTTGGTCCTTTAGTTGGTGGAAATTTATAAGGATTTGTACGAATTAAGTAGTATGGCGTAAACTATCGTACGTAACTCGTCCAAAATGTGTGTACCGGACTCGTATGGTAATCCCGTACTCGACTTCGTCTCGCACGGGAACGACCACACTCGTCCGGTAAACACTTATTTTCAGGACTAGTAACGTAATATACTATTACACGTGCTTGTCATATTTATTGTAGTCACAAACAAACAGAACCCCGAAATTTTTAGCATTTTATTTTGACGTATACAAGATTCAAGAGTAATCCTAACAACAACAACAGTAGGGCAACTCGGTCCAAGTAATAGGCACAGACAATGCAAGCAATATACAATTTTTAGATGATGTGCAAACGTGGAGAAAAATCCCAAAACTCACTATACAAGTTCGAATTGTTTATTGTCGGTTTAATTTTGTAAGTAATGTGTATATGTATATTGCGAAGAAAAACGTCTTACCTTTTCAGTACGGTAACTGACATACACGTTGTTAGTAATCTTATTTGTTTAAATAAAAGTGTGCCTGACATGGAAATGAAGGGACTGCCTCTAGTCTCTAGGTAGTCCAGGCATGTCAACTGTATCTTATTGTGCAAGTTAGCAGGTGATACTACTCTGGGGCAGTTTCCACTCTCACTGGCCCAGTGCTAGCCCCTCATCTAGCGGCTCTATTATCCTGGTCCACATTCGGTACTGTTAGCTGCATTCTTGTCTACGGCCGTTCCGTTTCGCATCACCTACCCGTACCATGCAGGGATCGTAGGAAATGCCTCTTGTCACCCGGACCGAACATTCCTTGCGGTTACTGGATATTGTAAAGAAAATTAGTGGTTGATGCTTTGTGTTAGGTATATGAAACAAATTTATTTGGAAACTACGTATGCTATAACGTATCTAGTTATAAAACAACGGTACATTTTACATTCTCTAAAGTGGGCAGTCTTACTTCAAAATATGCATACAATAGTTTATTTCTGGCTAAACAATGTTATTTCATTTAAAAGCTTCAGTATCACTAGTATCAGGCATGAAAACAACACCTGACCTTTTTTTAAGATAAACACATCATTCTAATAAAATGTTAACAATTAAACTTTGAGCAATTATGAACTAAAATCTCTACTCACATGCTAACACATGCTACTACTCCATAAAATTAAACATAGAACCGAGTAAAAATAGATAGTTAAATAGATAGTCGTCTTTGGTATAGGCCTATCAGAACTAAGGCATTTCTCTCGAAGATAAAACCCCCTCCAACTACAGCTACAACACAGGAAATCCTCGGTTGACAGCCCCCATGTTGATTTGATAATCATATGGGTTGCACATCATTTAGCTTTCCGATAATATAACTAGTATAATTGCAACAACTCTCTACTGTACAATTCGATGTACTTTCCCATCAGTCATAAAAGCAACGTTGTGGCTTTGATCATTTTATTGTTTTCCCCAATTATTTAAAGAACTGTACTATATTGTATTTTACATTGCTTAAGTTGTCTGAGTTCTTAAATAGTTTGGTCCAGGTTTTGTACAGTCCTATTGTATATTATGTCTTAGGCAGCACATCTTTATAAGTCGTTCTTATCATTATACTTCCAGTCACCGTCTATGACTGTTCTTTTACAATTTAATCACGGAAGACGGAACGGAGACTTAGGAACGTGCTTACCAGCACAACGACTAAACACGCGTAGGCCTAAAGTATAACTAAAAGTAAAACTATTGTATAAAAATTCATCAACATGGAGAGTTGGTTCTTTTATGGAGAGTGAGAGAGTCAAAACTCTATCATTTAAATGATAGTTTGTTGTAGCTTTACTTAGGCTTTACTGCTGAGTTACTTATACATTTAATGACAATACACATCTTCAACCAAGTACTTGTTTACCACATTTTTTACCTCTTTATTGGTATTAATGTGTTAATTTGTTGTAATGAGGATAGAGAGCTATAAATTATGAATTTGACAGCCGGGAGGATGGTGCCCATGGCACTTCAATGACTACAGTACTTACAAGTGATGGACTACGGTAATAGTTGTGTTCAATAGTCAATAGTTGGTGTTCAATAGTTAGTTCAATGATGCTAGCGTGCAGAGAGACTACCATTTTGCCAGACAACTGCGGTCATCTAAACATATCTAACAAGTCCCGGGACAGTTAGTATATAAAAAAGTATTAAAGATATAACTTTAAAGCACAGTTACTAAGCATTAAAATAATGTTAACACGTTATTCAATGATGCGCTACTTGCTCGGGGCTAGGAGTCAGAAGAAAATCTTAAATGTAAGAAAACGTTGATTTCCACATCAAATTAAAGGTATTTATTAGTAGAATACAATGTTATAAACCCGAACTCGAACGAACAACCGAGTCTAAAATGACAGCTATTTTTAAAGATGCATTGAATTAGCAATGTTTTTATATGCTACCCCCTCAGGGAGGCACCCGCTCGGGAGAAAATCATAAACTGATGCATAGGTAGATAAGCACATCAAATTAAAGGTCTTAATTAGTAGAATACAATGTCACAAATTTAAGCTCAAAAAACAACTTAGTAAAAATGGCAGCCATTCAAATATTTAAAACTAGCAGAGTACCCGTCCTTCGTACGGGATTAAAATATAAGTATACAAATGTTTATTGCAGTTATGGGAGAGGACACGGTTCAAGAAAATTTGGTTCTTTTAATTTATACGGTATGCTATAGTATAGAACATCTACCATAGCCATAATGTTCTACCACTGCACCTAAACCATAGAAAAAGGTAAAGTTCTCATTATGTACCACAGCTTTTTGTTGCTAGTTGGTTCAAATTAGCTGTTCTCATAAATGCAAAAAAAAATAATAGCGATGAACCCTGTTGGTAAACCTTATAACTTTTTAATGCTATTTATCATCATATAAACCAGTTTGTGCAGTTGAAACAGCTGTCAAAATTCTTTAATTCGTTTTAAATATGAATACTCATAAGGTTCACATGGTCACACGGGAAACTCCAGAGCCACTGGGGCGGAGCCCGAAAGGATTTTTGAGATAAGAATATTTCTAATATGTTAATCGGGAATGTTAGCTATCATCATACCAAATTTCAACCCTGTTGGTTTAGTAATTTTCGTGTTTACTTGTCACAAGCATCCATCCATACATCCAAACTTTCTCACTTAATAATATTAAGTTGGAGAGCAGATTCAATATATCTTTGAACAGCTTCCATTGTTTATTCGGTTGTCCGTTTGAGTTAGATTTTGCAGCATTGTATTTAACTGGTGAAGATCTTTAATTTGATGTACATATTAACCCATACTGAGCAGACGCACCAACCCAGCAGACGCACATTCAGCACCTGCCTATGTCTGCTGAATTTCATAAAATCGTCAAATTAATTAACACAGAAATGTTCTTTTTTATTCTTAGCCTTAGTTTATATTTTGTAATTGTGATTGTATTTTGTATTAAAAAGTATGTTTCTTTCTGTATACATTATGTGGAAATAAACGTATTCATTCATTTCATTCATACTTACTTTAAGATTTTCTTCTGACTCCTAGCCCGTCCCCCTAAGGAGGTAAGCATCACAGAATGATGTTTTAAAAGTACTTCAATGCCCATTAACTGTGTACCAAGTTTTGAAACT